ATCCGGCAACTTGCTCGGGGAGGGCGACCATCTGTCCCAAGGAGGTGTCGGATTTATCGTCCACAAGTCTCTCGTTAGCAACGTTGTAAAGATTGAGAGTGTGTCGACGAGGGTTGCGTACCTTATACTCAAAATCACCAAACGGTATTCGCTGAAGGTCATACAGGTTTACGCACCAATCTCGGCACACCCCGATGAGGAGGTGGAGGAAATGTATGAGGACATCTCTAGAGCCATGCATTCCTCCAAAACCCAATATACGGTGTTAATGGGAGACTTCAATGCAAAACTAGCCACAAGAGAGAACGGTGAGCTGAAAGTAGGGAAATTTGGAATAGGGCAACGGAACCCAAGGGGCCAGCAGCTGGCCGACTTCATGGAGAAAGAGGGACCCTTTATGATGAACTCTTTCTTCCAGAAGCGGCCCAACAGGAAGTGGACCTGGTCGAGTCCCGACGGTTCGACAAAAAATGAGATTGACTTCATTATGACGATCAGACGACAACTGTTCAGTGATGTCTCCGTGATCGCGAGGGTGAAAACTGGTAGCGATCACCGAATGGTGAGAGGCACACTGAACCTAAACATTAAGTTGGAGAGGTCACGTCTAATGAAGTCAACGCTCCGTCCCCCTCGTGATCCGTTCCAGAGTCCAGAAACCTTTCAGCTCGAGTTACAAAACCGTTTTCAGTGCCTAGAAGACTGCAATGAAGTGGACGATATAAATGACAAGCTCGTGGAAACTGTCCATGCGGTCGGAGCTAAGTTCTTTCTTTAATTCCGTCCTCCATGGTGGTACTACTCCGGAGGCGTGGAGCAGAAGTGCGGTGGTCTTGTTCTTCAAGAAACGCTCTCTTGAAGAACTACAGACCGATTTCCCTTCTGAGCCGCGTCTACGTGCTGTTTTCGAGAGTCATTACGAATCGTCTCGCACGCAGACTTGGCGACTTCCAGCCTCCCGAACAAGCCGGTTTCCGAAACGGCTTTAGTACCATAGACCACATACACACCCTTTGGCAAATTGTACAGAAGACAGAGGAGTATAATCTGCCACTTTGCCTTGCTTATGTGGACTATGAGAAAGTCTTTGATTCCGTCGAAATATTTGTAATTATTTTCACTTAATTTGGTAAATAGTTCTGGGTGGTTTTTTTACAAATTTGCATGTTTTCCAAATATAAATAGTTGTTAAAGTTAAAATTTTAAGCTTTTTAAACTGGGGCCTGAAAGTTTCTAGAATTTTTAAATTTGCCATTTTTTTATTATGAATAATTGCTGCGCATCAGTACTATTTCCCCACAATTAGACACGGTATGATAGATGTGTATGCGTAATAGGCCGATAGGGTGCTGGTGACATCTGTGGTTTTCTTTATTTTACGTAATGCGTATCTGAACCTGAATAGCCTACTTTTTACTTTATTGATATGGGCTTTCCAGTTTATATGGCAGTCAATTTCAAAGTTCATTATAAACTTAAAGTAAATATGTTAAAAGTATAAAAAACTAAACAAAAAAATGTAACGCGACTCTGCAATTACTTTATCACAAAATCATAAACCCAAAATAATTTAAATATAAAGTAAATTCAAAACCTAAAACCCGACTGGTGAAAAATTACGCTCTCGGTATGAAACGAGAAAATTATGTACAAGGTTTTTCATTAAAGGCCCTTGAACTTTGAAATGAAATAAAACAACTTGTGTGAGTAATATTGTCAAAATTTTCATTTTATTTTAAAGGACATTCGGTGACATTATATATGGAATATAATTTCAGACAAATGGGCGCCATGTCTCCGCTGTAGGTGTATCCTTGTGGACCAGTTTAGCTCCATTTATCTTCGCATAAACGGGGCTCAACATGAGGAACGCTAACTCGTGTTGGCTTTCTTGGTGGCAATTGTCTGTTTGTTTGCATAGACCAGATATTTTAAGTAGCCTCACATCGCCAAGTTGATGTCGCAGAAAGACCTAGCTCTTGCGCACCGTGCGGAACGGACTGTCTTCTTGCGTTTCTTTGACATACAGGCACTGCTTTATCAATCACCGACACTGTCATCTTAAATATATTCATTAAACGACGGATTGTGTATTCTACAGGAAGGCCATGAATGCCATAAATTGGACGCTACCACTCCACTACCGCTACTAATATTCACTACCTCATATCATCCCCTGGGTGTCGTAGGAGGCGACAGAGGGAAACAAATCAGGAGATGGGCAGCAGCGTCTTCCTAATAACGACATAAAATAAAAAACTAGGGTTGCCAACCCGCTTGCCAAGCGTGGTGACTATGGCAAATATCCCCCTATGGGGCAATCTATGCGGGAAGCATAATATGTTCCGCAGTGGACTTTAATAGGATGTATCGGTATATTACATGTACAAGGGGATTATTTAATATACGATACATTAAAGTTTGTAAAAATTACCTTGCGTACATCCGCTCGATAAAATAAAATGATGTGTCTTACCCAGTTTGTAGAGCACCTCCCGCCCTCCCTCAATTGCGTGCAGTATCCCCGTCACCACTAATCCCAGCACCACTACTCCCAACACCACTACACTAGGATAGACACACCGTGCTAATCATTTACATTTTTATTCACCACCTCTTTCCCTCGCTCTGTAGTCTAAACTTGTATTTCGAACTGTCTTTTGTGTGGGAGTAAGAAATATATATTTAATTCGTGGAGTGTAGAATTTTTATTTACATTACATCCATCCCACACGCCGTAAAATGTAAAGATAATATTATTTTATTTATTATGACGTAACTAAGCCCACTTAAAGCCCTTGTAAGGGGCTCCGCTAAGATCTTGGAGCCCAAGCCAACCCCGCCTGCACGTGGCGCACCTGCTGGATAACGGAAAGGGCTCTGGTGATGCCACTACTCTGGGATTCGTCCTAGGGGTTCGGGGGTCAGACGGCAGTCGCCCCGGTAATTGGCACTAAGCCACTCAAAAATGGAAAGTAAAAGAAAGAGATATACGTTTAGGACTAGGGCGTTGCCGCATAACGACGCGCATGGGAATCGCCTTAACCCTGCGACAAGTATGCGAGGGCTACCGGGCCCCGTGCGAGCCCAGCTAAAGACGTTAGTACCAACTACGAAGATTCGCTTTGCAAACTGGAACATTGGCATGCTTACGGGACGCTCCGCAGAACTTGAGGCCATACTTGCCAGGCGTAAAGTGGCAGTGGCATTCCTGCAGGAGACACGGTGGAAGTCCAACAGGAGCCGGAATATTGGGCACGGCTACAAGCTGATCTATACAGGCTCTTCTGGTGGGGAGAACGGTGTGGCAGTGGTGCTCGCCGAGTATTTCCACGATAGCGTCTTGGAAGTTAGACGCATATGCGACCGACTTATGGTAGTAAGGTTGCTTATTGAGGGGATCGTGACCCACTTAATAAGTGACTACGCCCCACAGGTCGGCTGCAGCGATGCGGATAAGACGCTGTTTTGGGATCGGCTCGGAGATGTACTACGCGGCATACCGTTGTCCCACGATGTCGTTTTGGGTGGTGACCTGAACGGTCATGTGGGCGAGGTGCAGGGGGAGTATGAACGTGTCCACGGCGGCTATGGTTACGGCCGAAGAAACGCAGAGGGGGAAACCATTCTCAGAACCTGCACTGCAGCTGACCTGGCCGTGGTGAACACGTTCTTCAAAAAGAAAACCGAGCACCTGATTACCTACAGGAGCGGTCCGAACGCCACTCAAATCGACTGTCTACTGACCAGGAGAAATCATATCAGTCGCGTGGCCAACTGTAAGGTCATACCCGGTGAGTGTCTCACTGCCCAACACGAGTTTGACTCTGCCGCTGGTGATATTAGTCTCGACACAGCAGGCAAGTCCGTCCAAGAGTGCTGGAAAACCATTCAGACAGCAATCACAAAGACGGCAAAGCAAGTTCTCGGCGTGGCGAAAGGGGGCCGCAAAATCGACAAGGAGACCTAGTGGTGGGACGCCACAGTCCAGGGTTCATTACGGGAGAAGAAAGCGCTCTTAAAGACGTGGCAAGCGACCAAATCTCCTGAGGATCGCGCATCTTACAAGACAGCGAAAAGAGCTGCCAAGAAAGCTGTAGCCAGAGCCAGGCGTGACCACTTGCAACCATTATATGCTAAGTTGGACACTCCTGAGGGGCACAAGCTCATATATAAACTGGCGCGCTCTAGGGCCAAAGCAGCGCAAGATATTACTCGCTGCTGCAGCGTCAACGGCCCTAATGGCGAGCTCCTGTACGATGATCGTGCGGTGAAGGAGAGATGGCGCTCTTATTTCCACGTTTTGCTGAATATTCAGCACCGGGAAGTGCACCCTCCCGAACAACTCTCGAACCATGGACTCGTGCCACCGATTACACCTGATGAGGTCCTCGCATCTCTTCGTCACATGGAGAATCGGAAAGCTGTCGGACCGGACGAGGTGCCAATTGAAGCGTGGAAAGCGCTGGGGGCTCGTGGTGTGTGCATTCTTACTAACCTTTATAATAGAATCCTGAGCGACCGAATAATGCCCGATCGGTATAAAGGTGATGTCACATACCATGAAGCTCTTCGAGTGCATTATTGACACCAGGATCCGACAGGAGTGTACAGTGTCGGACTCCCAGTACGGTTTCCAACCAGGACGCGGTACCATGGACCCTATAATCGCCGTAAGGATCCTCATGAAGAAGCACAGGGAAAAGAATATGCCTCTGCATTTTTTATTCTTAGACCTGCAGAAGGCCTTTGACTGTATTCCTAGGGAGATGATCTGGTGAGCGTTGCGGTCGAAGTTGGTACCAGAGACCTACGTGGAAATCGTACGTGACATGTACCGCAACTCCGATTCAATAGTCAGGACCGCTGTTGGTGATACCACCCCCTTCCCCATAACCGTAGGCGTGCATCAGGGCTCCGTCTTAAGCCCCTACCTCTTCAGTGTGATATTAGACGAACTGTCAGCCAGCGTACAGAAACTACGGCAGCCTTGGCTGCTTATGTACGCTGATGATATCGCACTGGTAGATGGGGACAAAGGACGGCTCACCAGACGCGTGCACGCATGGAGGGAGGCGCTTGAGAACGGCGGGCTGAAGCTAAACGTGGCGAAGACGGAGTATATGACCTGCAACAGCGCAGATCTGACGTCTCTCCGTATAGGCGACGACACCATCGAGCGCACGGACAACTTCAGGTACCTCGGATCTGTGCTTGATGCGTCCGGGGACATCGATCGCGACATCAAGGGCCGTATATCAGCGGCTTGGGCGAAATGGCGCGAGTTGACGGGTGCCATTTGTGACCCAAAAATGCCGGTCAAGCTGAAGGGTCAGGTCTATAAGACCATCATAAGGCCTGTCCTTACGTACGGCAAAGAGGCGTGGCCGGTGCTGGAGCGATACCGGCAGTTGTTGCATGTCACGGAGATGAACATGCTGCGGTGGATGTGTGGCGTCACGTGGAAAGACCGTGTACGAAATACATACATCCGCGGCAGCCTCCATGTCCGTGACATTGCTGACAAGCTGCAGGAAAGTCGCCTCCGCTGGTACGGCCACTTCTTACGACGACCGGCAAGCTGCGTGGGAAACAAATGCCTGGACATGACCCTACCTGGTACCAGGAGTAGAGGACGGCCCAAGAAACGCTGGCTTGACGTCGTGCAGGATGACATGCGCGCAAATGGGCTAGTTGTGAGGGACGCCGAAGACCGGGCAAAGTGGAGGAGGAAGTGTAGGAAAGCGGACCCTGGGTTCTCCTGCGCTGGGTGGGATGTGCAACCGGGATAAACGCTAGGTAGAAGAAGAACTAAGCCCATTTAAACTTTAAAGTATGAAGGGAAAATTGGATTCAGAGTATTGCGTGTCATTAAGGAAGTAAAAAGTAGGCAAACGCTCCGTGCATTGACTTGTACACACAAGAGCGCGCGCTGATGTTGCACATCAATCAATCAATCACATAAAATTTCGGATATTTTGAAATGAATGTAAAAAACCTTAGATTAATGACTTATCATTAATCTATGGTAAAAACCTTATTTACGCGTACTTTTAAAAACTGCGAAAAGCGTTTGTCAGTATTTATATTTTGAACTCAATTTTACTAATTTTTTTTTTAACTTAATTACCCCTTGTATTAAAAATGCTAGATTCAGTTAAGAAAAAATGGACGGTATTAATGAGGATGGTTTATTCTAATAAAAGTCAATATTTGTTGTATTATTTTATTTAACAATTTTTATTATATCAAATATATAGATATAGTTCTTATAGCATTAAAGTTATTATTGGATTATATCTTAAATTCGATAACACATAGACACTGAGCTAATAAATGCTAAGAAATCAGCGAAATAACAATATTAAAGTATATTTGCACTTTAATTTCAACCTTAATTTCAACTTGAATAAATACATATATTTTAAGAAATTCTAATGGAGATTCTTGTTACACAAATATAATTCTAATATAATGCAATACATAGGTATATTTCCTTTTAACAATACAATTACATAGTATACAATATTTTACCCTTAAATGATCTATCGTGAAAATTTATTAGGAGACTACGCGAACAAATACGTAGTTTCCTAATTTTAAAAAAAATACAATTATGTATTAAAAAGAAAAGTAATACTTTGTAAAGTAAATTACATATCACATTTAAGTTTGTCATTCAAAAACTAACTATTAAAAATTATTCATAAAACTTACTCAACAATAAATAAAACATTTTACAGATCTAGATAAGTTATTTTAGTCGCAGTGAAAGCAGCAGCTGCGGCGAGGATCGCAGCTACTGTCACCACTGCAGCGGTCGACCCCATCGCCTTCACAGCGAAACCCATAATGAAAGAGACTAGAAGCTGAGCGACGAACACACAGCTGCTTACCACTGCCACGTCAGTTCCAATACCACGCTCTTCACCACTACCTCCACCTGCACTATCCCACTGCAAAAAAAATATTCTCAATTACAAAGTAAGCGATTCTTCAGGAACTTTGAGGATGACTAACGCAAAACTCTGGGTTTAAACACACACAGGGATAAAATTGCACATAACATCCCCATTCCCAGTGAGCCTTAGGTACCCCGATGGGCAAAAAAAAACATTTCAATACCTTTGTTAATATATCCTACTGCTTTAGGGTTAAAAACCAAAAAATATTATTTTAAATAACTCGTTTTAGAAATAAGCAAAAACCTTTTCTGGTGAAGTCCAACAAATTATTTTCATCATCATTTCAAAAGCTCTCACGTTATTGCGAGAATTTTCCATAATCGTCATTCATTGCAGGTGTTTGACTATCGTATATTTCTACATATCACTACTTGTAATTATCTATTCTGTGATATCACAAATTTCTATCCTTTCACACTACTGCCTGTTGGTGGTCTGGTTGACTGGCGTAAACGGGATATTATATCGCCACCACACTGCACATACGCACATACATCATCATTACAGCCCTTCACATATCTACTGTTGAACATAGGTATAATGCCACAAAGTACATACAAATATACAAACTATATAGTTTCATCCCAAGCATAGTATGGTTCTGTGGTGTGGTGCAGTTGCATTTTTAATCGACCTTAAAAAAGTGGAAGGTTCTGAATTTGACTGTATGTCTTTTAGTTGTATTTATATAACGCAATATCGTCAACAATTGTATTTTATAGATTGATTTTTATTAATTAGATTATACTTTAGGGCTGGCTCCATATAAATTCTTTTTCCACATCTAAAAGTAGGAAAATAGGTGATTACGTTTTTAATGTAACGATTTTGACGTCATTCTAGTTCTTACCTCGAAATTGTGACATTACTTCGTCCACTCAAATTATCTTAATATAAAAATTTTAATAAAAATAAAAGGTAACTTTATAAAACTATAAAAAACATGCATTCGAACAACTTCTAAAGTTGAAACCTTACACACTGAGTCTGCGTACGAGCCCCTCTAGACTGCGTCTTAGCACCGACTTCTGGCGTTATTAAAAACGAATTATTTACTTTTTCAACTCTTTGAAGTCAATTTTTATTTTTTACTAAAGGTTCTCCTTCTCAGCTTCGGCTTATTGATCACCTTCGGCGTCCAGCCTCAGCCGCTACGGCTCGCACAGGTGCCTGCGACTTGCTACACAAGGGCGGAGGGACTGCACTTCCCGCAGCGCCGAAGCCGTTGAAATAGTAACTTTGAGTCAATATTGATGTGTAAAAAAGTGAGGTTTAGTCGATTTATCATGAAAAACTGCCTTAGAAATCAAAAACTTCAAACCCTCGTAAAAATATCAGGGACCTTTGCGCCAAAAATCCCTTTGGGGTTTTTCATACTTTTTTTTTATTTATTTACTCAAAGAAACTTACAGCTTTTATATCACATTTGAATTTAAGATGAATGTTAACAATAAATTAGCCAGAACAGTTTCCTACGTTAAGAATTACATTGCGAAGACTTTAAACATAATTAAATGAAGTACATATTTGAGTTTTGGCAAAGAGAAAGATATACTTACTGCATACCTAATAGCAATGTTAGTAAAGGTAATTTTATAATCAGATAGAGGACAAGAAGTACACACACCACCTAAGTGTGATTAACTCGCTTAATAGATGTAATAATAACGAGTTGAATGTAAATTCAAGAAAAACAACTTCCTTCTGCGTGAATCCCATATCTCTGATGCCCTTTGACCTACAGGACCAAATTCAAACTCGACCGAGCTACTACCTCAAGGTATCCACATACCAAATTTAAAGTCAATCGGTCCAGTGGAACGGAAGTTATCATGTCGGCATACAGACTAATAGACTGCCAGCTAAAACCATTAACTTCGTTTCAATGCTACGCAGAAGGAAGTTAATAATACAATATGGTTATAACACTCATTATGCGTGTTGCAAGCACGAACGAGAAACCGGTTTCTCGAATACTTAGTCCTGCAAAAAGGAGTAGAGAAAGCTGCGTTGGAGCGAGCACTCAACCTAGGGCATCTATATGAAATACGACTTAGAAGGAAGGGGGAATCTATATAGTTATGTAAAAGTTTAAACAGAAACACCTGGTCTCTATGCTCACGCCGTAATTCTATTGAATGATGTTGCGCAGAATGATCCTTAAATTTGTCTTTTCAGAAACTTATTTTGAATCCTTTCTACTTGTTCTACATAAGTAGCGTAAATAGGGTTCCACACCGTAGATGCGTATTCAAGATGACTTCTTACTAAAGAATTATACAGCATAATATAGGTGTTTGTGTTTTTGAAGTACTTGCATTGTCGGAAGACAAAACATAACATTCTATAAGCCTTGGCAGTAGCCTTGTCAATGTGAGACGCAAAGTCTAGTTATATCGAGATATACCCCCAGGTCCCTCACCTCGGTCACTCTTTTAATCAAAATGTTATTTAATTTATAATTGTAAACAATCGGTCGTTTTTTTCGAGAATAAGTTATAGTATAACATATATTAATATTTAATTTTAGATTATAAGCCGAGCAATATTCATAAAAATTGTTTAAATCTTTTTGAAATAGTAAAGCGTGTTCGAAATTCTTAACGAAGGTAAATAATTTAGTTTCATCAGCGTATAGTAATGCTTTTGAATGTTGAATGCTACACATGTACATTTTCAACAGTGGTAGAGCCACGCGGCAGCTTTTGCTGTCGCACGGATGGGCCGGCTCGAACCGGGGTGGTACCACGACCTCACAGAAAACCAGCGTGAAGTAGAGGTTTACCTCTGCGTTTCGCTTGGTGAGTGCAGGTGGCCGGAGGCCCTTTTTACTGGAAATGAGGCATTCCATCTTAGTCCTCGAGGGTGACAACGCATCTACATTTTGATTTGTAATAGAGGATAGATGTAGATGTCTATGGGCCGCAGTAACCACTTACCATCAGGTGGACTGTGTGCTCGTTTGTCACCCTTATCCTATAAAAAAAACATTACACCGTTTATAAACATATTAAAAAAAAGATGACCGAGATGAGAACCCTGAGGCACACCAGAGGTGATCGGGACAAAGCTCGAGGTTATAGCTCTTCACAGCTACTGCCTGAGACCTATCACGCAGATATGAGGTTAGCCATCTTAAGAGATCGCCGTGTATACCGACGTTTACAAGTTTAGCAATCGGTAGATTGTGCGAAATTTTATCGAACGCTTTTGGAAAATCGGTATACACGGCGTCAACCTGATAGCCTCTTTCCATGGCCTAAATTGTTTCATCCTGAAACACGCATTAGTTAGTTTCTGTAGTACTACCAGGGGTGAAACCGTGCTGACTTGAAACTATTTGCGGTTTGATTACAGGAAATGGAAAGTCATATATAATTTTTGCAAATAGCTTGGGTATAACAGATCGTTTGGAGATACCACGGTAGTTAACTATATTATGGTTGTCTCCACTCTTAAATATGGTAACAACAATGGATTGTTTCCAAAGCAAGGGCATCACACCTTGCCTCAAAGAAATATTAAAGAGTAATGAAAGAGGAGCTGCTAAATGGTTACTGCATTGTCTGAGGAAGATTGGATGAATACCATCAGGGCCAGTACCTTTAATGATATCGAGATTCTTCAAATATTTTCGACTTTAACGTTATCAATATAAACAGAATTAATCATACAATTATTATTTTCCGTATGGCAGTTCATAACATTCTTGCCCTGGCAAAATACAAAATGGAAAAATGAATTATATAGATCAGCAATTTTCTGACAGTAAGAGTGTCAGGTATATCACAGCTTTTTTGCTTTGATTTAATGAACGACCAAAAGTACTTGGGGTCAACTCGAATATTTCTCTCAACGTTATTAATAAATCGTTCATAACACAAAACTTCATATTTTTTAACATCACGCCGTGCATTTGAAAAGTTGTCATAATCACACTGTCTACCATAATTTTTCCATTTTTTTATGAAGTTTAAGTTTTCTATTTATGAGTTTAATAAGACGCTTATTAAACCAGACTGGGTATTTATTATTATTTTCAACGACTTTAAGAGGGACAAACCTATTTATCACGCACAATATCAGGTCCAGCCGTTTTGGAGATTAGCCGGAACAAACAGACAGACAGACAGAAAAAATTTTAAAAATTGTATTTTAGTTATAAGTACCATATTTACTTTCATATTTAAAAAAAAAAAACTGTAATTTTGACACTACAAACAGACACTTCAATTTTATTTATTTGTATAGATATGACACTGGAAACTTATACGCCACTATTACACGGTATAACGTGCCATGGAAATTTCTAAACCATGTTATGCTTTGGCGATATAAATGGCCCTATTGATTGGCGCCACAAAATTTAGTCCTATTTTTCGTTTGAGTCGGTTCGATTTCCAGCTTGCACATACTTTTCAAAATTCCATGAATGTAGTTCTACTAAACTTCAAAAGAAAATAAATTAATTTAAGTGAAATTCTCTAAATTTTATCTGAGGATTGAAAATCGGTCCTTAATGTTAAAAACTATTTTACAGATTCTACAAAGTAAAAACGTAAAATAGTGGTCTACGAACGTTCCACTTCTAGGTATAGGTACTTATTTATTCTGTGGTATAGGCCGTAATTCCTAAGACGGTTTTGGGGCTGGGATGAAACCGTCGCGCTAACCCTATGCATGTGCTTATGTTCTCAGAATCTCAGACATGCAGGTTTCATCATCGAAACCATAATTCATATTAAACAACTGGGATTGCCAAGCCAGGGGGCTTGGCAAGTTGTTTAATATAACAGGCGTTAAGTGCAACAACTATGTCAAATATCAGGAAATTAATGAGGAAGGTTCATCAGTTGGCTTCAAATAGTTTTTAATGAATGAAAAATTGAATTTTATTTCATTGGTTCTGCCGGTAATCATAACTCGGTTCACTCAAGTGCTATCTTTTAAAATGAGCGCTTATTCCCTAAGCTACCACGACTTTTAAGGAGTAAGAGTTTTAAAATAAATTTCATTAGGGTTACAACTTTAGTATATTTTTATTTTAGGTACTGACCACTAATTATGTGAGTAAAGCTTGCACCTAACATTGTAGATTTTTTTATTTGTTTTTTTTATTATTATTATTTCTTATTTACGGCTTGCACAAAATTTATTTATCTAGGTATCCTTTAAACAGTTTTCGACCACATCGTATGTTAAATAAAAAAATACTCTAAGTAAATTCCGTAAGTGGGCACCAAAAGATGCCACGAATTAGTGTGCATACAATTTGGCTTTAGTGTCTGTTTTATAGTCCCGCTAACTTGTTTTCTTCTACGAGAACGAGATATTAGACTCACAGACTCGGCCTCTTATAGAACTCGATTGCTTTTGCTTTGCACTTTGTGCATCTTGTTGTCATAATGTTGGCTTCGTGGCGCAGTGGCTTAGCGATGAGTTGCTGCGCTAAGGGCCGCGGGTTCGAATCCCGCACGGAACAAGTATTTGTATGGCCTATAAATAATTGTTCCGGGTCTGGATGATTGTCCTTGTGAAATTTATGTTTGTAAACTGTTTGTAATTTGTAAACTTTCTATGATACAGGTGTAAATCCTAGTGTAAAGGTAACGTTCTTTAAAAAAAAAATTACCCGAGGTTACATTCAGCTTTTAAATACAATATTAATTTTGGTTAATTCTACACATAGTGAGCTTACTTTATTTTAAAAGGTATCGGTTTATAAGTTTCCAAGCAGGTTCGAGCACCCATCCACTTTCTCTATTGAAATTGGGAAGTTTTTTTTAAATTTCAAAAGAAGAAGTGTTAATTTCTCATTTACCATTCCCGTTGCGTGATAATGCGCCACTAGGAGATACGGCATAGTGAAGAGTGTTGAATACATAACGCCAGCTGTCCAACTGAAGAGGATTACAGCCGCGCGCACACGCAGAAGACTGAGCATCATCATCCCGCAGCTATAAGTGCATAGGCCACCCACGTAAACTTTCTTAGCACTGAAATGAATTTAAAAAAATTATATTAGATGAAGGCAGAACAAAATTACTACACTATCTTGGCACTTGTAAGCAGTTCCAGATCACGTACCTATGGCTGGCAAAATGCCGGCCAAAATGACTTCTGGTCTGGAACTGACGTACAAAGATAGAAGGCCAGATTTTTACTGCCAAAGAGGCATTCCATCTTAGTCCTCAGGAATAACCAGTCATCTACATTTTGATTATTAATCAATATTAGCTTTAGGGACCACTTATCATCAGGTTGCCTCTCGAGTGGCAGCTTCGTACCGGTAGGCGATGTGTGGGACGGCCCGCACTAGATGGAGTGACGACCTGGTAAGACATGCAGGAAGTCGATGGATACAGGTGGCTCAGGACCGTGTTATTTGGCATTCCTTGGAGGAGGCCCTTGTTCAGCATTGGACTTGTGAAGGGCTGTAATGATGATGATGATGGTAACATCAGGTGGATCCCGGCTAGTGATCATATGGAGTAGTGGACATTCTTACATCGCCACTACACGGTTATGTTAATGGTGCCTAATTTATTCTCAAAATATACGACTATTAGCGAGTCTCCTAAGTTACGCTATATTAATTTTATAGAATTTTTCTGTCTTCCAATTGTGGTTATCTTTTATACGTTCCGGGGTAAAGTTGTAAGAGCCACTCTGTATGACTCGAAAGTGATATAGTTCATACCTAGCTCCTTTTTTCTAAGTTGTGTCAGTCTAGTTAGTATTACAATATCAAATGTTTCGTCTAGTCTAATTCATCGTATTCAGTAGTACAGTTTGCGAGCAATCCGGGCTCGATCCCCACCGGCACAAATTAAATTGTGAATTTCAATTTCAATAGCTAATTTCAAAACTTGTTCGTCAGTGAAGAAAAACATAATTAGTAAACCTTCACGTTTTTATATAATAAGGGTGACAAACGAGCACACATTCCACCTGAAAGCAAGTGGACCCTGTGCCACATCTATCCCTGATTAAGAATCAAAATGTAGCGTTGTCACTTCTGAGGACTCTCCTGAAGGCTCTCCGGTTCTCCGCACTCACTACACATCATACATATAATATAGCTGCAGCTTGCCTAGAGCATGTCTCAGGAATAAAAATATTTCGAAGACATTTGGTGTAAGCCAACACGTATTAGGACAGCGGGGCAGATAATTTCTTGTCCTAAAACTTTAAAAAATGAGTATGCCCTGTGCCCATCAGTTGGACGTATATAAGCTGTAATTTTAAAGAATAAATTGGATGGTTATAAGGGAGCATGATGTGTCGACCTATTCTCAAATGCACGTGTGTGCCAGACAAGGTTCACAAATTAAGCCTAAGCTCTTTTCTTTGAGCATAAATTTTCTATGGTATCGATACTCTCCTATAGTCTCTTTTTATGTCCTTGTCCATACTCTTTCTGTGTCATTTCTGTCGTACCCACGATTTATTTTATTCCATGTAAATGAGGAGAGAAAGTTTTTTCCCAAAAGGTGGGAAATTAGACGACATTTTAACTGTCAACTTGAGCTTGTGACATTCCATTTAAAGAGTCATTAAACCCATAATAAAAAGCAACGTTAATCAAGTAGTGGCAGTGAAAGAATATCCACTACCACTTCTGACGTGGTAGAGCCATGCTGCAGCTATATTAATTGTGTAGTTGTAACACGAATGCGTCGGCTCGACCTGGGAAGGACCATGCTCTCACAGAATACCAGCGCAATAATAGCAGCTTAATGCTGCTGTGTTTCGTATGGTGAGTGTAGAGAACCGGAGACACATTTTACTGGAAAATAGGCATTCCATTTTAGTCCTCACGGATGACAACGCATCTGCATTTTGATTCGTAAACGAGAATACATGTAGATGTCTATGGGCCACAGTAACCACTTACCATCAGGTGGACTGTGTGATCGCTTGTCACCGTTATCCTATAAAAAAATACTGTCCCATGGGTGTCATAAGAGGCGAAAGAGGGAAACTGAAGCAGTAGATGGACATCAGCATTTTCCTAATATAACTTAAAATATTAATTACACTGTTTCGTAAACACGTAAAGGTTATTTAAATATGTCAGTCAAATTGGTCAGCCTAAGTGGATTTGTTATACTTAATAATCAACATGCGTTCTAAAGCCGTTTGTATTGATTTTTAAATCTCATGGAAGCCTTACAATACCCACTTTGTATAAAACCTTCATGTGAAAGTCAAGGGTCGCCTAATGTAATTACTTCCAAGAAAGTTATTTCTATACATTTCAAGTTGAAGGGTACAATGTCTTCCTCAATGCAAGGTACAAGTGCAAGCTGCAATAATCTCTTGAACTTGAATTATTATAATGTTTTCTTTTTACTTCCTCAGCACATTTCATATATTTCAAGTACAAGTAAAATTTATAATTATTTAGTAAATTTATGAGTTATTTCAGTATTAACTCACAACTTCGAAGACTATTCGATAGAAAATTAATTCCAGACTTCTTATATTTAAACTTTTAAGATAAAACCATTAAAATCTTCAGCCCCTAAATTTCCATCTATTGGGGATTTTTTTAATTAAATTTGTATAGAACCGTCCTTGAAATAACCTATTTATTAACGGAAGAATCGGTTCAGCTGGTCCCGAGAAATCGTAGAATATATTATGTACGCGTGGAATATAATAACCTCTCGTTTTTGGAACTTGGTTAAAAATGGTAAAAATCATTGAGTAACAACAGTTCAGTAGCAACATTTAAGTTCAAACTATTGTAATAAGCATGCCTCAAATGAAACCGGTTTGCAAAAAGTGATTACAACGTGTTACAATTTATTTTTATGCATACCCAAGTCTTTTTATAAGTTTCTCTATTATGGTAGAATAACAGGCGCATGAAAGAGAATACATCGCCATTCCCCAGCATCCAAAACGAACGCCTGCTTCATAGTTAATACGGCTGAGACTCCCCACTGGCGCCTGCAAAAATATTAAATGCAAGATTACTTAAATGCAGGCAGCAAGTTGCGACCTAATTAGGCTAATACTATTTTCTGCTTTTATATTAAATTCTAGCTTTTTATGTGGTGTTTCAAACATAAATAATAAAATCAAATCTTATTAATTACCTTAAAATCAGTAACACCTTTAAGTTTTCGATATTTTAAAGGTTTTACTGTTTTTAAGATGAAAATAAATATTATAATCTGTGTAGTGGCGGCGTAAGAATATCCACTACCCCGTCTTATCCCGTGGGTGTCGTAAACGGCGACGGTGGGAAATGAACAGGAAATTGGTAACAGCGTCCTGATAACAACTATATTATATAAATTTAAAAAAAACTGCTGTTGCTAAGGCGGGTTAGTGATGCCTAATGACGATGATAATGACAAACGTAATATACTTAGGTTTAAATTTTATCCGCCGACTTCCAAAAAGGAGACGGTACTCAATTCGACTGTATGTTTTTTTTTGTAATATGTGTTACGTCATAACTTGTTATTCTATGAACCGATATTGATGGTTCTTTTTTTATTTGAAAGCTGGTACTTCTCGTGTGGTCCCATTTGAATGTGATCAAGGTCAGACCAATAGTTTTTGAGTTATTCTTAATAACTTATATTGAAGTCAGTACAAATTTTTAATTTTTATTAAACTACATAAGAAGCTGCTCTCAAAGCTAGCCGAATGCTGGTCTTGTCTCATATCGTCTTATCTCGTCTGATTATCTAGCAACAACATCTTCAACTTTCTTTTAAATATTTCCTTAATACCACATTCGTCCAGCGATAGTATTGAAAATAAGTGTCACTAGACAGTATCTTGTTCTTTTGCCGTAGTTTAAAAAAAGTTATTGTTTACCTTATTTACCACTCACAAATTGTTTTTTTTTTTCTAATGTCAGTTTGTTCTATGACAAACGGTAACTACGTTTATTTATTTAGTAAACAAAATTAAATAAGTAAACTTTTAGACTTACAGCTGGATTTCCACCGAAAACTGCTTCACCGACAAAATCTGTGAAGTAGAGCGAGTAGCAGACGTGCGCCATCCAGCAAAACAGATTGGTCAAGCACACCACACGCAGGGAGTTCGGCATCACAACGATTGATTTAAGGTAATGTCGAAGCGACAGTGGCTCTCCACTATGGGCAAACTCGGGAATATTTAATGCAGTATCCACCTGGAACATAGTGTCATATGTATACAATTTACATGTAAATAATTGGATTAAAAATATACATATGTATAAATCCAATTATCCATGTATCTCTTCTATCCTATTGTAAGTGGCAACTTTGGGAAAAGTCGAAGAACTGCTTACTCGAAATGACGGTATAGCAACATCATTATGTTTTATATTGTTATCATCACCATCATTACAACCCATCACAAGCTTAAAATAAGCGCCTCAAAGAACACAAAGCACGGTCCTGAACCACCTGCATCAATCGACTTCCTTCAACTCTTACATGCTTGTCACTCCATCAAGTGGGGTGACGCCCTATAATGTTGCCCACACCAAATTTCGGTCATGGCAGTCAGTGCACGCATGGTATTCCCTCACTCACATTGTCCGAATTTTACGATAAAATTACATTAAATTCAAACATTATAAAATACTGGTGGAGAATAAATTCTTAAACAAATTAAAAATTTTATCAAGCAATCTGAAACATTATTTTTAATATATTTGCTTCAAAAGTCATCAAAAAACTTTTCAAAGCAATGTTTATCACACTTCAAAACTTGAAGTTTAAACTTTGACAAAATAGCATTACGTAATCGATTCAGGAATTACCTCTGGTTGGTTTAAAGACCCATATGACGTCTTATCTATATGAAGGCTATTTTTTTCAACGTCACCATCATCTGCATCAAAGCTCTCCTGCAGACGTTGACTTTGAGCCGGTTTTCTGAGATCTTCGTTGCCGTGCAATTCACTTAGAGGAATCTCTTTAAAACTAGTCACTGTGGCCGACACGCATACTATAAATATTATCGTAATGAGGGAAAACACTGCTCTCACATGCCCACCAAAGATTTCTCCTGAAAATATTTATACAATAAATATAAATTAACACAAAATATTTTCTTAATATGATACGAAAAAAGGAATGCCGTCAAAAACATAACTTGTAAAAAAACCAAGTCTCGCAACTCAGTTCTTCTACCGTAAAAAGTTGTGAGATCCATGTAATACCAAGTCGGTTAATTTATTCAGTCCCTACTTAAGGGTCCTTCTGTCTTAACTTATTACGTAATTAGTTTACCTAAAAACATCTTACAGTGACCATATCAATATTAAAAATCTTTTATGTTTTAAATAAATAGATTGACTTGGCAATCGCACTAAACAATCTAATGATCATGAAAGCACAATGTATCTCACAAGTAATTCATACTATATTAAATTAGATTCTTTAGTACGTGGTAGAGCCATGCTGCAGCTATATTACTGGTATAGTTGTAGCACGAATGGGTCGGCTCGACCGGGGAAGGACCACGCTCTCACAGAATACCAGCGTAAAATAGCAGCTTAATGCTGCTGTGTTTCGTATGGTGAGTGTAGAGAACCGGAGACCCTTTTTACTGGCTGGAAAAGAGGCATTCCATCTTAGTCCTCACGGGTGACAACGCATCTGCATTTTGATTCGTAATCGAGGATAGATGCAGATGTCTATGGGCCACAGCAACCACTTACCATCAGGTGCACTGTGTGCTTGTTCGTCACCCTAATCATATAAAAAAATATTTAAGGTCACTTATCGGGATAAAAAGTATCCTATCTCTCAAGTTGGACCAAACTGCACACAGTGTACAAAATTTCATGGTGGTTCAGTAGTCGGACAAACAACGTGACACGTAATTTTTATATATAAAGATTTGTCGGTAAACGCTGTACTATGAAGTATTTTCACCTTAGAAGATTTCTTTCATGTAAATTCTTCTAACTATTAGACAATACTGACGAAAGCCTGGAGTGGAGCAGCATTGCCGCTAAAACTTTGACTTTGCTCTCACCAACACCGTTTTGGTAAATATGGACAACGCTTTTAAAAAATCCATCCAAATATAAAAAGCAGCGTGTGCTATTCTGCACTCCATTCGAAATGTATAGAGTCAATATAATTACAGACAGTGAGGCATTCAAACTTAGTCCCCAGAGATGACAACGCATCTGTAGCGCTTTTTATTCAGTGTTAGTTGTAACTATAATACGAAACTATTTTATATTTTTTGATGGCTACGCGGCGCAGTAGCTTAGCAATGAATTACTACACTGGGGGTCGCGGGTTCGAATCCCGCACGGAATAAGTATTTGTATGGCCTACAAATAATTGCTCTGGGCCAGACCCAGAGCAGAGATGTTTGTCCTTGTGCAATTTATGTTTGTAAACTGCTTCTACGATACAGGAGAAAATCCTAGTGTGGAGGTAACGTTTTTGTTTTTTAAAAAAGAAAATATTTTTTTTTAAAGAAAAAATAAATTAAGTAGCAGAGCCCTGCTATAGCTACATTATGGTATATATAGCACGATTGGATCGGCTCGACCGTGGAAGGACTAACTTTCACTAGCACTTTCAATAGCAGTGAAAGATAGCAAAAGATGTTTCGTGTGTAAGTGTAGAGACATTTTTTAATGGAAACGAGTTATTCCATCTTAGTCCGCAGGGGTGGCAAGGCATCTGCATTTTGATAAGAATCAAAATGCAATCGAGGATAGATCTAGATGTATGTATATAGGCTACAGCATCCACTCACCATCAGGTGAACGTGTGCACGTTTGTCACCCTTCTATAAAAAATAATGACTCAAAAAATAAGTAAATAATTATAAAACATTACCTAATGTAGTATCATCCCAGTTAATTCCGCCGAGCGCGTATCCCATAAATCCTCCCAGACCGGCCATTATCGTGAATGTACTAAGTCCCCTGGCGTGATCCTCTAAAACAAAATCTTCATTATTTAAACTGACGACTGTTTAGCGCAACGACGGGTTAAGTTGTTGCCGGTTCCGAGTTCGAGTATTGTATGCTTTAAGTATTGGTAGAATTCACAAATATTTTTGGTGATCAAAGAATTATTTATGTGTGGTAACGTTTAAGAAATATATAAAGAATAATGTACAATTGCTTTTATGTCTTACATGTCAATTTTACATAGTTAAATGCAAAGGCAAGTGTAAAAGGCAAATGACATATAAGTATGTAGTAGAGTTTTTGTCAACAGATGACAACCTGTTAACTGTTTTATTGTGTTAGAATCGGGCTTTTGAAACCTACTCTCGTGGTCTATATTGATTGCGAAGTTATACGAGCAAGTGTATACATTCCGATTATCAAGTTGCGAGCTTTCCGATCCTGATCAATTCAATTCCTGATCAAAAAAATGTTTAATTTTTTTATTTTAGTGTTTTGGTCTTCTCTGATAGTCGATAACTGCGAGCGATTATTCCATCAATCTTATCATAAAAGTCTTATATCTGATTTGAGAAAGTGGAGAAAACTTGTGATATGTTTGCTCGATAACACAGACACTCAAGGTATTATAAATAATCTAACACATGTGGACGAAAACTTCTATTTTGATCATTTTATTGTTCTGTATTTATTGTTCGCTTTTCTTTTGGCATTAGCCTCTCGTAGAGTTTGTCATAGCATTATATCTGTCTCCCTCCTCCACATCGTATCTAAATACTTTTTTAACTACGTTTGCATTGTCAATAAGTATTTCTTTCTTTCTTTTCACGTTACTAGCATTTGAACAAGTGTTGGGGGATAATAACAGAAGAGGCCTACATTAGTAGGCTAAATTAAATTACATTTAAGGAAAATTCATTCTGAAATAAAACAACTGAAATACTTAATCGTTAAACACATATTGTTACAAGATAAACAAACCGTAACATCTTTTTGGGTAAATTTACACACAAACTTCATTTACTTTGACTTACTACATCTGTCTTGTGATATTTTGGCATATAAACAAAGCAAGACATTACATTAAATTAATAGTTCATAAAATGTCTTGTTAAAAAAACGATTTATTTATTTAATCTTTTTTACATCTACCTTACAATAAGGTATAACATTAACTTAATGACTTGTGGCACTCTCTACCAGTCAGCCCTGAACGATTTGAGAAGCTGTGACAGGTATAACAACCACTTCATAAATTAATAAATAAGTTTTTTTCGTTTTTTTTTTAATAATAAGTAATAAAAATTATATCTTACAACAAAATGCAAATATATAAAATATATTTAAAATATACAAACTTAATATCTACTTTAAAATAAAGAAAGAATTGATAGAAAATATATAAACGGATACTTATATATAAAAAATCTTTAACTAAATATAAAATACTATAATATATAAATAAAATAACATGATACATATTAAAATACATATTATACAAAATATCACTTACAAAGCGAAAGAGAGAGAAAAACAAAAGTAGGATAAATCAGGTGGTATTAATATTGTTAAAAAATTCTCGAACTAGTCTCTTAAAATAATGTTTGTTATTGGTTTTCTTGATATTAACAGGCAGGGCATTCCAGAGCAGTATGGACTGCACAGTAAAAGGTGAATTAAAGAAACCACTCTTATGAGGTGGAATACGAATTTTAATACTATTTTGAGAACGAGGAACTCTATCGTGAGTAGAATACTGATACTCACAGTTATCCTTAAGATAAGAAGGAGAATTTGGGTCATTTAAAATTGAATATAGTACTTGCAAAATTCGAGAGCTACGCCTTTCACGAATAGAAAGCCATTTAAGCTTAGAAAGGTACTGGGAGAAATGGTCATATTTACGTAAGCCGAAAATGAACCTAATGCAATTGTTGAGAAGGCGCTCCAACTTATCGAGAAGATATTGAGATAGATCTGGGTAACACACATCCGCATTATCAATAATGAGCAATATCAAAGTCTGGATAAGTAGAAGTTTAGTTTTAAAAGGCAGAAAGTTTTTGAGACGACAAAGAGAACGTAAGGTGACAGTAACTTTATGAATTATTTCAGCAACTTGAACTCCCCAGCTTAGGGTATGATCCATATGTAAGCCAAGATTTTTTACAAATTTACAAAATGGCAGCAATGTTCCATTGTAAAACACGGGATAAAAATCATCGTTATTAATCTTGGCTAACATTCTGCTACTACCTATAACCATTAATTTACATTTGTAAAGGTTAACCGAAACACTATGTCTGTACGACCAATCTCTTATAGCATTAAGGTAGTGGTTGACTTTATTAATACTATCGTCAAGGTCGTTAACACTAGATTGCACATAGAGCTGAAGATCATATAAGAGCTGAAGAGCATACAGATGGCACGAACAGTTGAGAATTGAAGTGATAGAATTTATAAATAGAGAAAACATTACAGGAGAAAGTATTTCGCCTTGCGGCACGCCTGTTTCAATGACATCCCGTATTGAGGACTCTTATCCTTATTGAACTGATTGCTGGCGGCCGCGAAGATAGGATGAAAACCATTCCAAAGCTGGGATTGAGAATCTAAGATTAGCTAGGAAGGCTATAAGGATATCGTGGTCGACTGTGTTAAAAGCATTTAAAAAATCAAGAGGCACTACCACTGTAAGCTTCTGCCCATTCATTCCCATTCATTCCCATTCGAATGTCATCTGTGACTTTTATCAAGGCAGTGGTAGTACTGTGACCTGCGCGAAGGCATGACTGATATTTATTCAGCAGGTTATGTTTGGTTATGAACATAGAGATTTGCCTGTGAACACAGGCTTCCAGAACTTTAGATAGGCATGGCAAAATTGAAATTGATCGAAAATGGGTAGGCAATGATGGATTAGATGTTTTAGGAAGTCGTCGCACAAATACTTTTTTCCGCTAAGTAAGATATTGTCCTGAGTCAAGGGAATAGTTTACGATATGTGTGATTGCAGGTAAAAGGCACTCAAGGATCGTGAATATCATAACTTTACTAACCTCATCGCAATCCACAGCCTTGGATTTAATAGCTAATACTGATTTCTGGATCTCATCCTCAGTCACTGAGCTATTGTGGGATCCAAAGGATCTTTCTAATTAACATATATCTGTATAATGGCCATCATTGTCACTAATAGCAAATCAATAAAATATTCGGCTTTATCAAATCTGAACATAAATGGCTGTGCACGAAGTTTTGGCGGGAACTATTTTTTTTTATAGGATAAGGGTGACAAACGAGCACACAGTCCACCTGATGGTAAGTGGTTGCTGCGGCCCATAGACATCTACATCTATCCTCTGTTACATATCAAAATGTAGATGCGTTGTCACCCGTGAAGACTAAGATGGAATGCCTCATTTCCAGTAAAAAGGGCCTCCGGCCACCTGCACTCACCAAGCGAAACGCAGAGGTAAACCTCTACTTCACGCTGGTTTTCTGTGAGGTCGTGGTACCACCCCGGTTCGAGCCGGCCCATGCGTGCGACAGCAAAAGCTGCCGCGTGGCTCTACCACTGTTACTAGGTAGCAAACGAGCTGCTCGTCGTCAAAATCCAAAAACTGCATTCTAAGTTTAAACTATTCATCATCATCAGCTTGTAATAATCCAATGTATGACATGTTGAATCTCTCCCGTTGTTGCGATATATAGTCAAGGGTTCTCTTAACCCGCTACCCAATGGCCCTTGAAAATAAATTGCCTTTTAGTATCATAATGGAAAATGTACTCTTATAATATTTTTTATATACTTCTTCTTATATATTTAGTATTTTATTTACATTATATGTAGTATGTAACTCATTCGCCGTCTTGGATTATAGAATAGATAGTCATATATTATATATTATAGAATACATAGATATATATCATTAATAAATAACTAGGACAAGCGAAGCTAGCCCTTACACCAGGCAGCAATGATTGGTCGTATTTGCTATTAGAATACATAGATAAAGCAGTTATACATAGGGCACACTGAAAGTTCTAAGCTCCTGACCGCTCATAAATGTTTGAATTTCGAATATTATATTTTTTTAAACTTAGGGAACACTATAGGTATTGATTAAAATAACTTTTGGCGGAAAGTCGCGTGTCAATTGTTTTTTATCATAAGTTGAAGGTTGTCATCCGTAGCAAAAATTGAATTAAATCGATAAGACTTTTGGGCGATGATTTTTTATGATTTTAAATGATAACTCTTTCCTCAAGATTGCACTGTTTGTCTTCAAAATGGCAGTCAAAAAGCGTGGGCAATATTTTTTTTTCTCCTAGACGGGTGCTATCTGCACAATCCCACTTGATGAGCATAAGACAGTTAATGCTGAATGTTACACCATCATTTGATTGCCGTGTCTTTGAAAAAGTTAGGAGAAAATTACCTAGAAGTTGCATTCGGTACCATGGCAATGCTTCTGCGAACATCGTTATTTTTCATTTCTGAAAAGGTGAATATCATGACCCATCTCGCGCACAGTTCAGACCTCGCAACGTGCGATATTATTATTTTTGCAAAAATCAAAAATTTTATGAGATGTTTGACATTACATTTTTGTCTTACACTTTACTAGAAATTTAACATAGAAATATATAATAATGTACGGCAAAAATGTATAAATGGTAAAACTATCTATTTCAGATAAATATACACATTGGTATTTACAGTAACTATCGGGTGGAGTGTATTTTTTAGAAGTAAGGGAGACATACAAGAGTCCTCCCTACATCTGTTAAAAACATAAAATAAGGTATGAATTATATAAAATATATAAATTTCCGCAATCTGTCTTCACAAGTTGGCGAAAACACAGAACTAAATCCTAGCTTAGATAAATCAATCATGGCCAAAGTGAGTGATAAAGCAAGTCATTTTTACAAACACCAGCATCAACAAAATCATACGGTCACATGTTATGACGTTTATACTAGGGCAAATGTTTAATTACATTAGCTCCAATCTAT